TGAGAGCTTGTTTTATGATAAAGTACTTGCCAAAACTATTCAAAGATAAATGTCTTTTGAGAGCAAGAATTTGAAATATTCGGGAAAAGTGGTCAATTTTTCTTTAACTACAGCAAAGCGTTGATGTCCCTTAAAATGCTATAACATCTTTGCATGATTAAAAATGAACTGAAATCGAGTTTGAGAATGTGGAACTCTATTCTACTTTGTTTTAAATAGTTCTGTTATACGTTTTTCTTACTTCTGTTATTATTATGTTCTGTTCTGTTATTACTTGAATGAACTATTGTCGCTTTCTCTTTCTTCCAGATAATTATAGCACAAGGAACAATGGTTTTTTCCTCAACGTTGCTATTTCATAGAATATAACAAAAGCAATTCTCTATTACACTCAGTAGAAGGTATGAGCTGGATCTAAATGTGTCCATCGCAGAAGCGATAATCGTCGATGAAGATTAGACCTCACTAAATTTAATCAGAAATATGTAAATCTTTTGACTAGTATCGACAACATCACTTTAATAGTGCAGAAAAACGAGAGCTCACAAATTAATTCTCGACAGCTGCCAGACGTACAACTATTTCATAGCAAGTATGCGCCTTGGAGACAACTGCCTCTGCAATTTCTTTTATCGATTAGAGTGCTCTGCCCTTTATGATCCACTTTGAGCGAATAAAGTGGTCATTTTATAATTGAATGCGATTCTTATTTAGTTTCGATAAACTCGCACAAACATTAATTAGAAACATGTCGCAAAACCAAGGTCCTTTTCTGATGTCCACACATGGTCATCCGTCATTCAATCCTCGTTTGCCAAATAAAAGATCAAGCAATGGATTACTTAACAGCAATGCACCATCGACAAGACCAATTAAACCATCGGACAAAGGTCCATTGTCTTACATGCGTTATCCAAGAAAAACATTAAATTCAAGTCGTAATGTTTATGGTAAGCAAAACATCTTAATCGCAGTTACTGTGGCCACAGTGTGTGGCTCTACCCAGACTAGTCGAGTCAAGATCTATTTTTATTGCTTGCTTAGTTTTCATGCGTACATGTTCTTTTTTATTATCGTTCAGACAAACGACCCCACGATTTACTGGAGCATGAAGATCGTTCTGGCTATGGTGGAATGCGTAGTAGTAACCCACAACACATGGATGCTGTATTTACAATTGAACCAGCTGCGGAAGACGAAGAAGCAGATGATGTTTATTTCTCTTCGAGACATATGGCTGCAGCAAGATTTCAACGTAACCAACGTTTATTGTGCGATGTATTCAATGAAGTGTAAGTTAATCACACCAGCTTTGAGTGCACTTGTTCGCACGCGTTCTCGAACGTTATAGTTGTATTCCTGATCTTCGATCAAACATCACCGTTGATCGTATCGTGCAATTACGTCGACAAGTTGATTCGTTGAAAAGTCATCGTGAAACATTTGAAAAAGAACTTCAAGAGTTGGAAGAAAAACATTTGGAGAAGAAGCGAAAGTTTCTCGAATCGAATGAAAAATTTCATAACGATTATCTAGAAGCGTGTTCATCTACAAACATAAGCAGAGAAAAGCTGAACGAAATGTTACAACGTTTTGAAACGATGGAAAAATTACAGCGTGAAAAACAACAACAAATAATTCTACAACAGCAACAACAAACTCAGCATCCGCAAGCCTCATTGCCACCACCTACCGGTCTTCCGATGACACAACATCTTCCCGCTCCCACGAAAACAGGAGTTGAATCATTTCCACAGCCTGTTCCTGATTCTATAGTTGAAAGTGAGCCTATGGCATATCCTGGACTAGTCTCACCAGCACCATTGCCTTTACCAAGTCAGGTAGCAACGGTAGCAGCGCCTCCTATACAAAATGTTATCGGAAACACAACTCCTGTGCCCTTCGCAGCTGCAAATGAAGCGATGGCGCCTTCGCAATCTATATTGAATACAGTAAATCAAGTTTCCGTGCCCACTGCGTCTCTAACATCGTCGCGTTCTAAACTTCAACAACCAGATTCAAGTTCACCTGTGCCACAACAGCAAGTTCCCTATCGTCAGACTCCGTCTCAAATGCCGCCTCCGTTACCTGACATTTCATCACAAACCAGTGGCCAACTTCCGGTACAGATTCCACAACAACAATCATCTCCACAACCTCCATATTCGAATATGCCTATTTCCTCCACAACGACAGCAAGCACGATTCCACAGCAAATCGTACGGCCGCCAATGGCCAATTCAATGTACGGCGCAACTTATCAACAATATCCTATGATGAATGTTGGTTACCCGGCACAACAACAATATCGAATGTCATCTGGGCAATCTCCTAATCAACAAATGAATTTTCAAGACCAGCAACAACAACAACAACAACAACAACAAATGATGGCCTATCGGATGAACCAGTCACCAAACATGATGAATATGCAAGGACAACAACCGATGCATTATATAAACAACGCTCAGTTTCACGTAATGATATTTACGATTACATATTGCAGTTGCATCACGGCATCGATTGCTCGGATGCTACTTGCTCTGTAATCTCTGTTTACTTCCATTTAGAAACAATGTTTTCTCTCTTGTTTAGAATCGTCCTATGGGACCTGGACAAATACAGTCTCAACAGCCGGCCGGTATGATACCTATGAATTCAATGATGCAGGGAACAGCACCGAACGCCTACAATAGACAAAATCCCTATGACCATTCGAACGTCCCATATATGACTCAACAACCACAAATGATGCACATGTATCAACAACCTGGCCAATACTATGCTCCTCCTAATTCTTATCATATGCCACAACCAAATGTTATGCATCCTCAACAATCATCCATGTATCAAACACACTCTCAAAATATGATGCCCGGTATGTCTAGTCATATGGCACAGGCAAATTTACCCCCATCCCAGCCTCAGCGATCACCATCCACACAATCTGCTTACAGTGGACATGATGATTCAGCTCTGAAATCCGAAGATGAATCGTTCAAAGAAGAACCGAGAAATTGAGTGATTGTTTTCTTGTAAAGTTTTTCACTTATGACTATGAATTGTCTTTGTGTCTTCTGTTTGTTTGTTTTTATCAGATACATTTCATATTCATTTATTGCGCGCGGTTGTTTAGACATATTTGTTGCACCATTTTTCTATAACTGTTTATTTCGTTTTCATTTGGTCAGTTTGTTAATATTTTGTGACATCATATTTGATGTAAACGTCTATTAATCGTCATCTAGTACAGGACAAAACGACTGCTCGTTCGTTCTAGTTTCAAATTTGAACATCGATTTAGATTGTAATTAACGTCAGTTTGCGTGATTGGATATTATTCTTTCACGCTTGTCTATTTATCATTCTTGTGTAATTGTGGCCTTTTTTAAAAAAATATTTCGAGCAATCTCAGTAGTGTTCATTTGATATGTTTTGTTCTTTTTGTAAATTGCTGTTAATGGTATTGTAACTTTTTTTGAATGTTCTCAATATGTTCAATGACTGATTTTTAGTAATATATATTGTAAATAATAATTAAATATCTACACATTGCTATGTTACTTATTTTGTTTTATGTTGGTTTTATTGTTGAGAATCTATATATATATATGGACGTTAAATTCGCTGTAAAAATAGGAGAATATACATTTGACAAAGAAATCGACCTGTTTTCATTGCTGCTGCACAACAGTTTCAACCTAGTTGAAAAGAGTGACGACATGACTCTAGAACTGTTTAATTGGATCCTTAGTAAACCATTTTCTCATCGGACATATAGTCTTTGGTAGAGATTCACAGCATCATTAGACATAAGAGATGTGACGCGGCCGTCTCAAGAAATTAGTTAGTCGCAAATGACCACTATTGTTACTGCACTTTTGTTTTGTCTTAAGATGATCAAAATAAACAAATGTCTTGTATAATGATCAGCATACGGAAATTGGTCTGAACCAAGTACAAACATGTTTCTCTCCTCCACATTGAACGGTGAAGCATCATTCAATTCATGTCTTTCACAGAATCGATCAATTAATAGTACTATGATAACAGACCGTCGATCAATGAGACCATTAAAATCACCGGTGGATAAAAGATCGTTAACAAACAAGCCATATCCTCCAAGAATATTCAATCCATGCCGTCCATATGGTAAGTAAAAGACAGCAATCGTTGTCAAAAATGAGGAGTGAATATCCAATTCTGACAATATTTTCAACTGTTATAGATAAAGAATGCCAAAACGTGCTAGTAAGATAAATGTATGTGGTGTGGCTAACTCTAACTGCTTGTTATTATAAAATAAACTCAGATCACCTTACCGCTTTGAATATGCGTGATGAGCTCATTTTTACGTGCTTACAGTTGAAAGACATATTCAACAGCTTCTTTGATATATACGTGTGTGTTTTTCACTGTTGCTGTGAGAATGTTTACGGTTCATTGCGCATGATCGGCGACTACCATCGCTAAAGCTGCTCAAACGAGCTTTCTGGCTTTCTGAAATGAAAAGTTTACGAAACACCCCGACAAATTCAAAAACAGTAAAAGTGCAACTCAGAAATTGCGCATTACTCAGACTTGAATGATTTGTCACAGATCGGTTCACTTTTGATCAGAAGTTTCAGCATGATGCTTGCTTGCTTTGGATGGAAATGGCGTTGGAATGTTTTTCAATTCGTCGAGGGTTTTGGTAAAATTCAAATATCACATTAATGTTTTAACTTTTAGACCTCCATTTCGCAGCTTTAGCGATGGTGTTCGTCGACTGTGTTTAGTGACTCTTCCGAAGCACATCGGAAAAAAGTTTTCATTAGTTTAGTTTGTAATCGTGCGATCACCTTTTTCAAACAAGATGCTACATTTGATGATTTGTCAAAAGTACTTTGAATACACGCCTTTGTCATTTTGTTTCGTGTTTCTGATGTAGGCACTTAGTTTGACAAGTCGTTTTATTTTAAAACGGAGTATATGACAGTTGTGTAATGTTGTTGTTATTTTGCTTAGAAAGATCATTGGATCAACAAAATTTATACCTGAGTAATTCAAATTATGGTCAATGCCAACAATCTGGTGCTATTTTCACAATCGAGTCAGCGGACGATGATGTTGAGAATGAGGATGATGTTTATTTCTCTTCGAGACATATGGCTGCAGCAAGATTTCAACGTAACCAACGTTTATTGTGCGATGTATTCAATGAAGTGTAAGTTAATCACACCAGCTTTGAGTGCACTTGTTCGCACGCGTTCTCGAACGTTATAGTTGTATTCCTGATCTTCGATCAAACATCACCGTTGATCGTATCGTGCAATTACGTCGACAAGTTGATTCGTTGAAAAGTCATCGTGAAACATTTGAAAAAGAACTTCAAGAGTTGGAAGAAAAACATTTGGAGAAGAAGCGAAAGTTTCTCGAATCGAATGAAAAATTTCATAACGATTATCTAGAAGCGTGTTCATCTACAAACATAAGCAGAGAAAAGCTGAACGAAATGTTACAACGTTTTGAAACGATGGAAAAGTTACAGCGTGAAAAACAACAACACCCATCACTACCCCCGTCGTCACAAATACGTATTGAATCACATACACATGTGCAACAAACAAGAGTGAACAATCAATATCCAGTTAGAATGATGCCGCATAATCTATTTCAACAGCCTCACCAATATGTCAGTAATCAGCCAATCTTTTATTATCAACACCATCGACCATTAAGTATGTTTTCTCCTCAACAGCAGTATCAGTTTGAACAGTACCATATTCAAGAACAACAGCAACAAGTACTTGCTTATCGTCAGGCAATGATGATGGCTAACAGTCAAGCACAACAGCAAATTGCATTTCCGAATGACGTATGTCAACCGTCAACCAGTGCTGTTTAAGAATGTTCAGTGTCGGAAGTAGCAACCATGCCATGAGTGCCAGTTTACTAGTGATAGCAATAGTATTGTTAAATGTTGTTTCTCTTTTCTGTGATGTTTTTATCAGTTATGTACATAAAATATGTTGTTTTTGTTATTGATTTCAGTTCTAACTCGTCATTTATGATACATTCGAGACGTGTCAGCTCGTCATCTGCCTAGTAACAATGCTTTCAATTTGTCGATGTTTGAGACGAGTGTGCAGTAGAGACGTCTATATGTAAATTATAGGAAAGTTTTTCTTTCTTACTGCCCCGAAAAGTATAGTGCACTGTGAA